GTATAGACCACAGACTGTATAGACCATAGACTGTATATAGACCATAGACTGTATAGACCACAGACTGTATAGACCACAGACTGTATTCATAGACTGTATAGACCATAGACTGTATATAGACCACAGACTGTATAGACCATAGACTGTATATAGACCACAGACTGTATCCATAGACTGTATAGACCATAGATTATATAGACCAAGGCTGGGCAACTTTGGTCGCCGCAAGGGCCACATTCATTCAATTCTCACTGCCAGAGGGCCAAATTGTAGGATACAAAAATGATTACAGTCAATGTGTCCGTCTCAAATTTACTCAACATATACCAGTGATCAAATATTATTATGGACATATTTCTGGTTTTCATGCAGATTTTCATGCAGATTTTGTCATGTTTTCGTCATGTTTCCAATGAATCGACCTGAGGGCCATGTTGAGGGGGGCCGCATGTGGCCCCCGGGCCGCCAGTTGCCCAACCCTGGTATGGACCATAGACTGTATAGACCAAGGGACACATGCTCCGACAGGTGCCAAACATAATTTGAGGGACTGTCGTGTTAATGGTTATCAAGTAAGCAACAACCCAGAGCTAAATCAATGATAGACAATGTGGATTAGCAGCTGAATTTGTTTGGTATTTATTTTATAATGCTATTTCCTGAGTGAACTCCTCACCTTTACAGACCCACGAACACGACTGAACAGTTGTTTTGAGAATCAACTCAAGCTACTTTTCGGGTATGTATGTATTCAGTAACTAGTAAAAGTAAAAATCCTGATGTAAATCAGTGGCTACAACTAGCTAAAGGTTGACAGGAACAAGGAACAAGCTATCGCGCAAAGTGTAGACTAAAAAAAGTCTTTTGACTTCACTTACCGATGCTTGGATTTTTTAGAAACCTTAAAGTCTTAACTAACTGCACATACGTTTTCTTTTGACAACAAATTAACAAATATAAATTAACTTGTTTTGGTGACTGCCACTGTTAAAGCAAAGATGGCCATCGGAAACTACACGGTCACTTCGTTAGGCCACAAATAGGCCTATTGTATTCTTAATTTAAATTTCCTGGATACTTGTTCTGCATGGGAAAAAAAATCGACTTATATTTAAAAGGAAAATGTCTTTCTATAGCCCTAATGGCTGGAAAAAAATAAAACTACAACATGAGAAACTGAAAAACGTGGTTCATGTTGTACAAAAAAAACATAATTGACTCAACTCAATTGTAAAATATACACACATAAAATAATCTTTATAAATCTTCAAGTAATTTTGGCAATAAATGTGACTGATGTAGACATATAAATGTAATTCCTCAGTGTTTATGTACTTTTTAAAGCTGCAAAGTAGTCCAGTCTATATTTGGGCCTATTTAAACCTTGATAAGATCCATTATTTACTTAGCTTATAAATGTATGTTGCCAGGCTTTTTATAAAGTGACAGAGGAAATAATGCAACATTGTATCCTCATTGTTTATTCTAATCAGGTCTTTAAAAAGACGACACTGTCAACTGAATACTACTTGATTACAAGATAATGACACCAGCTTTTGCACAGTCCAATCTGCATAAAATGCAGGAACTGATAAAGGTCTCTCTAATAAGGATGGTGTTTACATCAAGCTTTACATACACCTATTAGGCGACCCTTGTCAACATCCTAAGCTGGGCTCACTGCAATAATGCACTTGATGTGACTCCCACCAATGACTGTTATTGTTGAGATACCCATTTTGGTTGTTTCCCAGTATTCTTGGTAATGATATGAAATCAACGGCTGTTATTATGAGGGGGATACAGTCTTTGATGGCAGTGACTTTGTTCGTGATTATCATGGCCATTTAGGTTTTGTATCTTGCAACCTTCCCCATATCCCCTCATGCCCATGCCAAGTGGTAGTCATTGCTGTCTCCTTTAGGCAGACTGCTATGAACACATTATAGATGGGTGCATTAGTGAGTGATGCAGAGCCCAGACTTGCTTGCCTTGTTTTCGTGTGAGAGTGCATCATTAGAAAATGTTCCACTTGGCAGGGAAGCGCGTATTAACTGCAAGCGCAATGAAATGAGGTTGTGATAGATGGTTAAAGTTATACACGACTATTAGGTTGAAATATGAACCTCTCAATTGTCATGATGAAACAGAGGGCTATTTGCGTGGTGATCAGTGCATTAAGAGACAATTGGAATCTGCAAAGACCGATACAATACATTATAGGTAGTGGGCTCAGTGCTGAGAGAGTACAGAAAAAGTAATCATGCTTCCACAGAGTAGTTTGGAGCTACTGTTCAATTCAGGGCTCCATAAATTCATTTAGGTTCTCTACCAATATCTTGAGCATTGTGATGAGACCTGGGGGAGATTTGCAAACAGGGCACTGAGTCTAAACCATATTGTGGACTGTGATGAGCCATACATGTGGAAGTAAACCAGTGTTGATTGGCCATAAAAGGAGCTTTGTGTCCTTATAAAATGTCAGGGTCATAATGACAAAAAACAAAAAAATCAGAATAAGCTAAAATGTCAATCAGGAACAGTAGACCAATGCAGCCTCTAACTCCCCTTTAGTTGAGGTCATGAGCCAATTAAGCATGCTCACTATCTCTTCCCATGTTTCCATGGTGAACTTCAGACAATGTATCTCAAAAACTTCCAAGATGTGAACTGGTATGAGCAAATTGCACATCAACTGCTCTTAAAGTAAAAGACTACATTGTACATTTACCAGACTTGATTTGACCACTTCAGATAGAATTAGAAATAAGCTACATATTAGTCATCATTATATAAAATACCTGAGGAATAATTGAATGCTCTTGCGTCATCATGGTAACTCTTTTAAAACTTAGATTTTTCTTGGTGTGCACTGACTCTGTCTTAGACTAACAACAGATCCAATTTCAAACCCATTAGCATTTAATATTACTGTAATTACTGTGTACATTTCATTATGTTCTCAGTATATTAAATGACTGCTCAGTGTGGAGGGAGGGCTATAGTTTAATCTTTTTCTGTATTACTGTATGCCACAGTACTCAAAACAGCATTAAGAGACACATAATCAGAGGGAACTAATTGCCTATGATTCCATAAATGAAGTGCTTCACTCTCATCAGGGCCGTTGCTGATGTCCAGCCTCTCACCGCCTTGGGAAGGGAAGGCAGTTGACCACCGTGCAGAAAAACCAAGGAGAGACGGCTACTGGTGGGTAATGTGAGAAAAGCAAAGATTTAATATGTCCACAGGGGGGCTGTGAGGGCAGGGGGTGTTACTATTGCTGATGTTTTTTTGTTGCCATCAGCGTTGCCTCCGCTGCTGAAAGGAAAAAAAAAATAAAAGAGAAACACGAGTGCCCACCATTTGAGAAATGAATTTATCGAAGTCGCTGTCTTTTTCCCCATTAGTAAGTGTTTAGTTCAGCGTTTTAAATAATTGCGTTACCAGGAATGATATTTAAAATACATTTGGGAGTCAATGAGGCGGGAAAGTGCCTACATGTTTTGCTGATGACACCCGGGCCATTTGGAAGACATCAAAGTAGAGAGGAGGTAGCCCAGATGCATATTATAAACTCATTATGTATATCATTTAAAAGGATGTACTCCAGCCGCAAAAACAATATTCCTAGTCTCTCTCTGGTAATGTGTGTTTTCAAAGTTGAAACTCTTACTCGCCTTCAGTTTAATGTGGCATCTATTACCAAACTGTAACATAAAATAAATGACCTTGATTTCCATACCAGAACAGTCGTTAAGGTATAGATGAGATGCAGGGGTGCTTCTGTGTGTTCAAATGGCAAAGAAGGTGAAAACCTCTCAGCAAATATTATAAATTTATATTTCTCCACCTGTGGTGCTGACCTGGTTTTCCACAGAGCTTACAGGGATCTTGATGGACTCCAACACAGAGGTGGATAAACAGACGTTCAAATATATGTATTTGATACACTGTGTATCCAATACGGAACAAACACATCTGTGTGATTCTTAGTCATCCTTTCCTGCCATGAAAACCTCTCCTGGGTCTAGGGAGTAAAGAGATGGAATCAGTTTTAATTGAAGTGTTCCAGAAGTATTGGAAAAATGGCGGTCCATCAGTCAAAATAGATGTTTATCAGAAGCTTAGCGAGTAAGCTTAAGAGGCTTAATTATGCACCATCCCTCCACCGTTAGAACTCTACACGTACGGCAGAGTGACACAGCGGTTGCCAGTCATTCAGCCTAATGTTCTAATACAAGGAGCCATGTGGATACACAAAATCCATTAAGGCTGTTGAAAAAAAAAAAAAAAATGAAAGCAGAGAAAGACATTTTGCAAACACATTCTCACGGGGTCTTTCAAATAGGGCATCCATGTTTGCTCTTCCTCTAACAGAATTTGACCTTCAAAATTGCCCAAATGTTTAAGTCAGCTTACTTACTGTTTGAATTAAACAGTAAAAGGAACCCTTAGTAATGCATCATTTGGATATAACAGGGATTTAACCCTTTGTATGGTCTTGCCTTGCTCTGTACATTTAAAGTAAAAGACGTCTAAATGCACAAAATACAGTATACTTGGAAAAAGTTGTTTGTTGTGTGCTAAAGAAATAAACCTCCTATTTGCGGTTATTAAAGGTAAATTCAAATTTAAAATGCTCTTTCATAGCAAAAGCAGCAGTGGTTACCAGATTTAAGTGTCAACTCATTTATAACTTGCAGCCTGACACAGAAACATTTCAAGGCTGTAACTTTGCTGGAGGCAAACAGGAGAGGCTCAAGTGTCTGCATGTGAGGCATAAAAATAGCATTAGTTGTCACACTGCAGGGAGGGTCACATACTGAATATCAAAACAAGTCTGTGAACCAACCTTGTGAACAGCCAGCAGGCACATAGTGGACATTAGCCAGAGAGAAAGAAACAGCAATAGAGATAAAGGCCTTTTCAGAGTCTCCTTCACTTCATCATACACGTTTTACAAAACCACTTTCCTCGGTGAGAGGCGAGATATCAGCATGTCGCGAGGCAGCTTTGTCTTCACACCCATGGCCTTACGCTCTCTTCAACTTGATGAAGACATGCTGGAGAGATACAAGTACAAGAGGCAGCTTGCCTCCCATCAGCTCAATAACTACCTGCTGAAAAAGGAGGCCAGGGACAGAGCACCGCTGAGGACCAGCACGGCCCTGCCTGCAGCTGTCTGCCAGGATGCGGTCGTCCAAAATGCTCTGTATACCGGAGACCTGGAGGCTATGCAGCACCTCTTTCCTCGAGGATCCACAGCAAACCTCATCATCGAGCCACAAGGAGGGGAAATGCGCTGGGTCGCCACAGGAGAAGGTAGGAGATGACATATGTCTTCATTAGGAATGAATTTAGAAATTCTTATGATTGTGCACATCATCATTGCCTCTTCTTTTCCTGGAAATTAGCATACAAAATAATGAATCCCTGGTTTTACATGATTTGAATTTTCAATGAAGAGCAATGTGTACATGGTGCATCTTACTCTGAGGCAGCATTAAAAGAATACAGAGCAATATTTATAGCATCCATCATATGTCCATGACACAATCTGACTGGATCCTTTCACCTATGGCAGAGTGAGCTGCTTGCCTTTTGATTTTGCAGAGGAATTATATTTTGTGTCCATTTTAGCTTGTTGGATAGCTAGAAATGATCGTCCCTTACTTCAAGTTCAAACGTTGGATAGATACGCTGTGCAATGCTGAATATTTACAAAATCATTCTGTTGTCAAAAAACTGTTATTTTCTCCTTTTAATTATTTGAATGCAGAAGAGCTTTATTGATTTACTTCAGTGGTTTAGCTGAGTCAGTGTGCAGGTGACATGTAGCACACTGATCATTGGCTCTCACATCACTGCACTGGAGAGGTCCATTGGGTCAGCCAAAATATCACATAACGCCACCCTGAAATAGCCCTGTGTGCACAAACAACCAAGCATAAGTGTTTATTTCCTTCATGAGAAAACACACAACTTCAACTTCAAACTACAGCATAGCTGTAGAGCAAGCTTGAGTATGGCATATGTAGCTCCTAAGATTAAGTGGCACAAACAGAAGAAGTACCGGAACGACGTGATCGCCACAGCGAAAGCCAGTGGCTGTGTTCTGCAGTTCTGGAACTCTTTGCTTGTGGGCGATGAGCTGACGATGCTCAGTATCGTAGACGACGACGAGTATTGCTACCTTATTGATGCTGTTTATGACACCAGCAACATAGAGGAATGGAAGAACTTTAGATTTAACTACAGAGGCCTGAGTAGGTTTGCCAGAGATTTTGGTTTTATATCAAACATACAAAAAGTTGTGCTGAACAGTCATGGCCTTACTTTTTTTTTTGGCTATTGGGCTTTTTTTTAGCATTATTGCATGTTTTATCTAGGAATTTAAATAATTCTATATCTAATGTTGTGGATTATTTACATCTGGCATGTCAGCTCAGTTATTTACAATGAAAGGGTTGAACGTAAAGTTGACCTGATTCCAACTGTTCTATCGGATTTCAGGACTTTGGTCTCTGAGTTATGAGCAGGAACTGACCACACCACTTCACATCACCGCTGGCCGAGGCTTCGCAGACTGTCTGAGACTCCTGCTGCAGCGGGGGGCCAATGTAGACCTGGCACCTGGAGGCACCACAGCCCTGCACGAGTCCTGTGAAAACAGCCAACCAGAATGTACCAAACTGCTTCTGATTCACGGCGCCAACGCCAATGCTGTCTCTGAAGATGGTCTAATGCCTCTGCATGTTTGCTCGAGCCCTGAGTCTTTTGAGTGAGTAAAGTAGAGAGAGTGTATTCCCTTAAGTGTGTCTAGAATAAACTATGTGTTGGCTGATGCTTTATGCAGTGAGTCTTAACCCAGGGTACTTGTGCCCAAGAGGGTACAATTCATGATTTGGTGAAAAGCAGGCTAAGTGGAAGTTGTAAGAGTCTTATCAGATAAATGCTGAAACATTAACTGGTGGCTCATTAGGAGAGTCAACAAGCCAGTAAAGCTAGCTATACCAACATTTTCTAACATGAATTAGCTGTGGCATGCCAGGCCTACTGATCATACAAGACCAAGTTAGACTAGCCACAAAGTCCCTAAATGCTTAAATAGATGTGTCCTTTTTTGCTATTTCACCCAACTTTTTAGAAGGATGACAGACTTTAGAGCATCATCAAACTAAAGTTTGCTAACAGCTAGCATAAGCCATCATTAGATCATTGTATTGCTACACCAAGGAAGTATGTAGCAGCAGAATCCCTGGTTGGACTAATATAAGCAAGGGTGTAATAATTGCTAAATCAATACAAGTTTTCTCAAGAGAGAGATGATCGTTAAGAGTTACGTTCTCTTACTTTAAAACCATCGGCTACTTCGGAGGGTCAAAATCTAGCAGGGAGAGTATTGTAAAGAAATAGTTAAAAGTGCTACATAAATAGATGAAACATGGAGCTCCCGCTAGATTCAAGATCACGGCCTTGTGAAAACTTTAGCTACAACATCCTATTCTGAATTTAAGCTATATTACTTCATATTTTAATGAACTAAATATGGCGTATGTGATAAAGGATTATGAGTCAAATAAAACTTCCAGGAATGCCGATTGATACATGTGTGATACAACTTGTGCAAAGTTACAAAACAAGTTTCTGTGATTCTGTCTGCAGATGTGCCAAGTATCTCCTTCAGTATGGTGCAGCTATTAATGGTCGCACTCTAGATGAAAATGACACACCCTTACACGTGGCAGCCAGGAATGGCCTTCCTGACCACGTCGATCTCTACCTGCGCTATGGAGCCGCTGTGAACAAAGAGAATGACGAGGGTCTCACCCCACTGAACGCAGCTTGTTCACAACCCCAGGAGCTGCAGGAGCTCCAACATTACTTTACAGTGTGCCAGATGCTGCTGGGGGCCGGGGCCAACGTCCACACCATGGACCAGGACAAACGCAATCCTTTACACATGGCCTGTAAAAACGTCAACCCAGACATAGTGGATCTTCTCCTGGCTAGCGGTGCCTGTGTTAACGACATGGACTACGGTGGTGAAGCTCCCATGCACAACATCCTAAAGGTGGTCTGCTACAAGTTTTCCCATCAGCCTGAGAGGATTGTGCGTGCTTTGCTTAACCATGGTTCTATACGAGTGTGGCCTGGAGCTCTGCCCATGGTAAGAAATAAAAGTCTACATATTATATAGAATAATTTATGGTGAAAACGTGTGCACATACATTAAATGAGGGGTAAAGCATTCCAGGATGGTTTGTAGCATAATTGTATTTTTCAATGCGAACCAATTATTCATCAAGGTGGCTAATTTAGTATAATTAGCAACTTGAGCACATGTAACACCTTGAAATTCTTGAAACACTTAAGACTTCCTTGGAAAATTCCAGACTTCACAACTTCACAATTCAAATCATTCCCATCTCATGACACAACATGAAGTGTTGCACTCTCTGCGGGGAACAGACTACAACTATCAGTGAACCCACGTGCATGAGACAAAATGCCTGGTTCCTAATTAGGCAAGTGTTAATAGGAGATTAATTAGCACTAATTGCATAATTTCCAGTTAAACCCCTGGAGGGAAGACCAATCTGTTCATTTCACAAGTGTTTAATTACTTTATTTCTTCAGTTCTATGGAGTCACAGGCTCACTTAGGAACTTCAGTGATGATTATATGACTGTGTAGCTGTGGTCTGTGCCTAAACAAAGACTAACACTACTAATTCATACATGTTCTTCTAGGTTTTAAAGCACTGCTGTGTGTCTCCACGCACCATCGAGGTTCTTCTCAACGCTTACAGTTTCCTTAAAGTCACGGACACGTGGGTGGAGTCTGTGTCACCGGAGGTGTTTAAGGCAAGCTTGTTAATTAATATTCAACCAGTGTTGCTAGCAACCCTTAAATCAATTTCAAAATCAAGTTTTTTGACTCACTGACATTGACACATATTCCCTAATACCTTGAGGATTATGTATGAATGCTTTTAAATACAGAATCACTCCCAAGTAAAAATGCAATAATGCTGTAAATGATTAAAGGAGTAGGTAAATTGTGCAAAATAAAATCTGTTTGCAGGTTGTGTAGGTTCATTATAGCTGTAGTTTATGATATGTGACTTTCAAATGATCAACATCTATAATAGGACATACAGTAGCCAATATATTTTTCTGAATGTCTTGCTTTATTTTTGCTACATGTCCATTGCTTAATACCACAACAACTGAAAGTAAAATGAAACAACTGAAATCAGGGCTCATGAAATGATTTCATATTCATCTTTTTCATCAATATTTTTTCATCTCTATCCAACAGGAGCACAAAGACTTCTACGAGTCTGTCTTCTCTCTGGCAATGACTCCTCGCTCCCTGCAGCACTTGGCTCGCTGCAAACTCAGAAATGTCCTGGATGGCCGAGTACACCAGGTGGTCCCTAAACTGGATCTGCCAGCCTTTATCAAGAATTACCTGCTGCTGGAGTACAGAGGTTTTATCCATTGAGAGCACTGTGCTGAGCTTTTAGTTAGTGAAATGGAGAATGAGTGCTGCAATTTGTGAGAAAGAAGTAGCTGTTCACATTTTAAATAGTGATTTTTTTTTTTTTTTAAACTAGGGACATCAACCGCTAGCACTGAACACTTGAGACACTTTTTGATTGAGGGATTTTTCATCATTCGGCTCAGTTACATGTTTGATGTTTCACCACAAGAGGGCGCTGTAGGCTTGAGTGGATAAACTCTATAGCGTATGTGCAATTGTCTTTTATATTTTGTTTATTTTAAGATCACGGTTTGTATTATAATTCTGCACTTGAGAGTTAAAAGATAATTGTATTTTTCTACATAAATATATCAACATAGTTTGATATTTATGCGCATTAGGAGGATTGAGGATAACTATCAAATGTAGGCATAAATAATGACTCTCACTGACATGACTGTATTTAGGACTTTTATATAAAAGAAATAAGCTTGATATAAAAATAAAACATACCTATGTGACAAATGTTCTTGGACTTTTTTACTTTTCTTTATATGTTATGTTACCTCTCTCTTTCCTCGGTCCTTTCTTTGCTTCGGCTTGTAGCCTGGTGTTTTGTGTCATTTTTCCACATTCACGGGGTTTTGTCCAGAAGAAATTGTTTTTATAACATACAAAAATTACTTGGAATAAAATCGCATTAATCCTTTGTATTTAAACAATTCAATGTGCAAGGGTAGCTATCAAATCAATATTTAAATATGAGTAACTACTGCATAAAACACATTCAATAAAAATAATAAATGTACTGTCTGAACGAGATTCCGATACCCTTCTTCTTCAACCGAATTATTTAAACTTTGACACGGTGGGAAAACGAGACACAGAAAACGGAGGGTATTCAGTAAGGCACCTGTCAGTCTCCATTCAGTCATTTTTAGAAAAAAAAAGTCCTCTTTGAGGAATCGTTATGGTCACATTAAGCACAATTTGAATTACCTGCAGGACTAATTGATCAATTTACCTTATACTGAAAATAACAACAGTGAACACATTTAAGTAGTAGTAGTAGTTTTCCTGACACAATTAAAACTTGATAATGTTGTTGGAACATACTTCAGATGCTTTCATGTGCTATAGGTCATCCAGTAGTGTAAGACTTTTGGAGCAAGAAAAATAGATCCGAATGATGATTATTTTATTTGCATATACATTTGATTATTTTCTTTTTAAAATGGGACTAATAAAAAGTGTAAAGATGGTTTCACTAGATCAAATAGTGCTGCTGCTGCGGCTGCTGGAGTCACTCGCAATTATAAGAATTAGCCTGGCCTGGCCCTCCATCTCTAATCAGAGCCGCTGGTGATATGTTTATGTCCTCGTGCAATCAGACGACCGGTTGGAGAGCCCGGGCACCCAGGACTCAATAGGGCTAATCATCATCAGTTCCCATTGCCATTTAAAAGGTGAAATGATCTGCGATTAAACTTGTGCTTAAAAGAAAGAGAAAAAGGATTTTTTTTTTCTCCCTACATGCATTTTTGATCAGGGGTGAATTTCATCTCCTTAAACGCAGAAAGTGATTTGTGCATTATTTAATCCAGAAAAAAAAACTTTACGCATGATTTACTTGATAGATTATGCGTTAGAAATGTTACAGTTTAATATAAAACTATTTTTGAAATAAACCGCCTTAGCTACAAAAAGAAAAGAAAAAGCGAAACCACTTCGATTTGACTTTGGCCACAGTGTCCACGCACTCTGCCGTTGACCTCGCATAAACCTCCTTTATCTGAATCTAATTTCGCGCAGAGTATCTCTCTCCAGGGAACAATTGTTGCAGCACTTCTCTTTTTTTTTTCCAAAAGCCGCCAAACGCATTGTTTTTATCCGCGTAGAAAGGGCCAGAGAGCGGAGAAACATCTGCCTCTCCTCCCTCCTCACTCTGATGCCCATCGGCCCCAATATTCCAACAAAAGGCTCCGTTGTTTTACGCTGTCCCTTGAATCCAGAGTAATTACTTATCATCAATCAAAATTAATAATAGCTGATTGGGTTGGTGTGGTCAACGATTATAGAAGGGGAAGGGCTGGAGCAGTCTCTCACACCGTTTTGCAGTCAATGGTGAACCTGGCAAAAGGGGGGGGGGGGGCTTGAGCGAGGAGGGCGGGGGGCGACCCGTCTATTTGGTCTCCACTGGGAAACTACCGCCTCTCAAGACGGCCAAAAAGTCAGAGGCTGAATAAGGAAATGAAGCGTAATTTGAGGAAGATGGATGAGCCCCCAGGGAAACACCCCCTTTTCATTCCTCTTGTATTGCAGATGATAACCAATGCGCTCTCACCTCTCTCTCTCTCTCTCTCTCTCTCTCTCTCTCTCTCTCTGCGCACACACACAGTCACACACTCGGAGCATGGGGAGAGGGGCGGAGGGAGGAGTTGGTAGATAGATAGAGAGAGCGTGTGTTTATGTCTCAGTGTGTGACAAATAAGAGGGAAAAGGTAGCGACAGGGCTCACAACAAAAGCGCAGAGGGAGAGAGAAAGAGCGCAGAGATCCGGAGAAGCAGTCCACTCACTCCCAGGAATGACAACACGGCGGAGGATCTACTTTCTCTCCGCTCCGTTCTTTCACTGAAAGTTTTACGCGTCGCCCAGGGAAAAAGGGACACCTGCTTTTTCAAGTTTCCACTAGTAAAAAAAAAATACTTGCCTGCAACATGCAGCGACCAGGCGGCCCAGGGACAGCGTTCTCAATCGACTCACTCATAGGGACTCCTCAGCCCAGACCGGGACACCTGCTCTACACGGGTTACCCCATGTTCATGCCGTACAGACCTTTGGTTATCCCACAAGCTTTATCCCACTCGCCTTTATCGTCTGGGATACCTCCTCTGGCGCCTTTGGCTTCTTTTGCGGGACGCCTCACGAACACGTTCTGTGCCAGTTTAGGACAGGGGGTGCCGTCCATGGTCGCGCTCACCACCACGATGCCAAGTTTCTCGGATCCACCGGACAGTTTCTACCCACCACAAGAGCTCCCAGGCCCGCGTTTGAGCGCAGCAGATCCCGGGGCGAGGAGGCTGGAGAGTCCGCACTCTGACGACCTCCACAGCCGGGACAAGAGCTCTGATCTGCTCAACTTCTCAGAAACTTTTCAAACTATATCAGGTAAGCTTGGGCTCATTGTTTATTCAATGTATTTTTTATCCAAACTAAACCGGATGGTCGTTGCGTAAAAAGTGAGCACTGTGCGTAAAAATGTGTTCAAATAGAGAATGTTGGTGTCAGTTTAAATAGAATTGGGCGACCCTTCATCAGTTTAGTCAGACCTGGTGACATTGAACTAAAAAAATATTCCTTTTACAGTCTTCTTTTTTAATAGCAGGTTTGATGTAGGCCTACAATATTACCACATTTTCTTCATATGATAACGAATTTGAGAGCATGCTTTACATTTCAAATAAACGAAAGTTGTTTGGTTTAAAGGAGAAATTTAAGCCTGTTTCAAGTTGCCAAAAACTTGCAGAACAACCCAGTGTTGACACAATTTGCAGGCCATTTACAATCCAGTTTTTATGCTACCTATTAAAACATTTAAAGTTGTTTTCAGGGTTTCTCCAACAGCCTGCAATGGGCCAATAATTGATGTCCTCCATCATCAACAGAGACTCAGTGTGTTTCTTCTTTCTCTTTTATCAACATTTTAGGTGAGACCAAACTGTACAGCTCAGACGACGAGAAGCTGGACCGAAAATCCGCAGACACCGCTTGCAGTGACCGGGAGGACAGCTCCGTGGACAGCGAGAACGAAAGTTTCTCTGACGGGAACAACTGTGGCTCCCTGTCCCAGAAGAGCAAACTGAAAACCGGCTCTCAGGAGGCGTTACCCACCGGCAGCTCTGCGGGGAAGAGCCGGAGGAGACGAACAGCTTTTACCAGCGAGCAGCTGCTGGAACTGGAAAAGGAGTTTCACTGTAAAAAGTACCTTTCTCTGACTGAACGCTCGCAGATCGCACACGCGCTTAAACTGAGCGAGGTGCAAGTGAAGATCTGGTTTCAGAACCGCAGGGCCAAGTGGAAACGGATCAAAGCCGGCAACGTGAACAACCGGTCTGGAGAACCGGTGAGAAACCCCAAAATAGTGGTCCCCATCCCAGTGCACGTCAACAGGTTTGCAGTGAGGAGTCAGCACCAACAAATAGAACAAGGGACCAGGCCGTGAACTCAGAAAAACCACAAATCTTCAAGAAAGAAAAAACACTTACATGTTGAACGCATGACGCACAAACAGGAGGAGCCGATCATCCTGCCTGAGAGCAGAGAAGAAGGAACAATTATTTGGCAACATGCTTTCATTTTTATTTATTCTTCTGTGAATATGTAAATATAAATGGGTTAAAACTGGTACAAACGGGCACTATGAGATGAGACTGTAAAGATTTTTTAAGTATTTATTTGTAGGGCCAAAATGTTCTGTTGTGCATGTCCTTTTTGGTGATGCTGGATTTTTGTTTTGTGTTTCGTACATTTGTTGAGCACATTTGCATGTCAAGACGGTTTTACGTTTTGTTTGGAGGCTGTAGGTTCCACAGTTGACAGCAATTTGTGAAAAAAAAAAAAAGATGTGAAGGAAATAATGACCAAACAAGGGACAAGTGTAAAGTATATTGACCTAATAAATCGCTTTATACGAAAGTTTGAATCCAGATTGAATCTTTATTATTCCGAATATAGAGTAACTATGGTTTTGTTTTGCGCAAATCTATCTAATCAAACAATTCATTTCAACCAGGCACATTATTTGATATTTCTGAACTAAAAAAAATAATTAGGCTAAATTGATCATTTTTTAAAATCCTAAGCACATCATTTTGAATTTGTAGTTTTGAATAGACGTTAACAAAATTATGTGATGTGGGGTATTTTTATGATTATTTCAAGCGATTTCGTGCGGGAGCTTTTAAAGTTCTCCAAACATTGAACGTTTTATGGGGTTTTATCTTCGCTTCATTCACACGTTTTTTCGTTTAAATAATCTGACGCTAAAAAATATGTGTTTCAACCCAGAAACATCAGGACCTGAAAGGTATAGTTAGTTTAAAAAACTAAAAAACATCACTGATTGATTTGTCTTCAGGAGGCCGGATTGTCTCAGTTAGACTGATGGATCGTCATTAGACTGAACACATTCAACACACTGTAATACACGTTTCTATCAGTCACTGCTCAGGGAATATCAAACCCACAGCACCTCTCCTTAACACGTTTTTTTGTTGTTGTAAAATTATACAATTACTGTGTG